CCTCCCATATGTAAAGTGTAAATTCTTTCTCACTTGTTACAATATTTAAACTCAAAATCTTCTATATAACTATTCAAAATTTTAGCTGCTGACACATCTACACAAATAGTGAAATTTGCGATTGGAGATAAGATTTAGCATCATCTATATATAGGGGAGGCATTGCTAGCACCATGTTTTGGACATACTTAGGGATGATAACGAAAATAATTGAGCAAATCATCACCGACCTTTTTTGTTTCTTTCCAATTTGAGAACAAAATTATTTTACTATACCTATCTTTTCCATATGATACTCCAACACAGTGAACAACTAAGTAACTTGGGTGATACGCTTTTCTACAAGAAGTAACAGATTTTTAAAGTGAATGGCATGACATGTAAGTATAGGATCACAAATTAAAGATGACAAAATGGTGGCTCTTATGGTATACTTCAAAATAATAAAAACAAGGATGAAGAAGAAGGAAAGCGTAAGACTACTTCAATACAAACATTAAACTAGTACTGAAATGAAAATGGATAGAGATGGATTATGAGAAGGAAAGGACAACTATTAATCTTAAAGGTTAGATCCACTGGTAACTAAGTATTTTCTTATAAGTTAGGTTTAAAATTGAAATCTTAAGGTAGTTTTCTTAAAAGCATTAAGTTAATATGGGAGTATGTTCGTAAAATTGCTTGAGGAAAGGTTAATCTCAAGGTGTGTAAAATCTAATTGAAAAAGACCTTGATTATAGATGCTAAAAAAAGCGCTTAAAATCACTTAGGGAGAGATTTCTCTTGTGTGTCATGAAAACTAATTTCAAAACACATTGACCGTAAATACAAAAAAAAAAAAAAAAATCTTTAAAATTATTTAAAGAGAAATTAGTTTTGAAATATATGAAAACTAATTTGGGAATACTTTGACTATAAATATAAAAAAAAAAAATTCTATATTGTATATAGGTGATCATTATAAAATTACAAATTTAATAAATCTTTAAAAACTAAAATTAATTTGTAGAAAAAAACTAAGCAGTCGTCGTTTAAGACAAGCTGCATGTTACTCTTACACTCATTAAACGTATCAAAAATTGACAATTCAATTCTATAAGCAGGGCAAAACATGCACTTTTTTTTTTTATTGACAAATTGTCTAACCAATTTCCAAATATTAAGAAACTCAATAACTAATCACTAGAGAGTTTGTATACATAAAATAATTTTGATCAACAACAGAAGCATGAGATTTACAAAAACGAAAACAAGACCACCTAAATCATTAATAAGAAAAATAAGAAAGTACGCATGCAAAGAATTTTAAACACAAGTATTTTTCAAACCAAAATGATGCATTATCAACACTTGTTTATAACATAGTTTGTAAGTAGTTTTTACCAACTCTCTTTACTCAGTGATACATGTAAATTTAAATATTTGTTCATTTAATATTATATAATGTTATCAATAAATCATTTTTATTTTTTTTCAAATAAAAAAATTTGAGTTTCCTTAGAAATTTCATATTTAAATTTTTAAATAGATAAATAGGAATTTAAAAAAATTATTTTTATTATATAATTTATTATTCCACATATATAAAAAATTATATATGCATGGTTTAAAGTTTAAAAAAAAAAAATTAAATGAGTTTGTATTTAAAGACGAAGAATTCAAAATCCAACTATTAAATTAGGGGTTCACTTTACATTTACAACCTAATTTGTAACCGTTGAGTTGTAAGTCCAAGGTGCAAGCAAGTTAAAAGTTTAAACATTAATCATTTAAAAAATATAATAATACCTTATATTAAATGTTAAACTCCAAAACAAGAGACAAGTTATTTCTATAATGGTTAGGAACAACACCATTCAACAAAAGGGTCCCTGTCTTCACATTCAACAAAAGAGTCACTGTCCTTCAAACTTGGTATAGCAGAGCGGAAAAACAGAGTATGGGATTCATTTCAAGCAGTAAGAAGCACAGCACTTCCATGGGTTTGCTCTTGGTCTTCTTCCCTGAAGATCACAAAAAGGGAACTAATCCTAATCCCATTCTGGCTAACACCAGCATCGCCGCCGGGAACTTCCCTTCTTCTTCTCCGGCCACGGCAAGATTCATAAGAAGGACCAATTCCAGTGCTCTTTTTACTAAAGCTCAGTCCACAATCTCAATCTGCATTCTGTTGGTTTTCCTCACTCTTCTTCTTTTCACTCTCTCCACTTTTGAACCCACCGTCTCCACCCCCACCAAGCCAACCGTTGCCGTCTTTGCCTCCCGGAAATCCTTATTCACCCGAAGTTCTCCTTCTTCTTCCTTTTGGGTGTCCAAATTGTCGCCACATGTCAAGAAAAAGAGCAGTTTGGTATCTCCATTTGCGTTGCAGGGGATGGGTACTCTGTTTCAGCGGGGAACCAGAGCAATGAACGATCTCGTGGTGACCCATGTTGCCGAAGACGTGACGGAGGGAGAGCTCCGGCTGTTTCTAAGAGCATTGCATCGGTCCGGCGTCACTGCAAAATCCGACATTGTATTCATCTTCGGTTCTTTGTTGTCGTCGAAATTTGCCCCTGTTTTTCAAGAGGAGAATGAGTCTTTCTTGAAGCTAATTCAGCTGCACAAGAAGTCTATAAATTCGACTCGTAACTCAGTATTGAGTTTTGATGTAACTCAGTTTGTGAAATCCAACAAGAAGGACAACGGGGGGCCGCTATGGGGGAAGAAAACAAGAGCGAACTACAATGGCTCCGATGAAGGTGAGGCCAGGTCAACTCGGTTGAATTATGGTTCCGTTCTGGGGTTTGAAACTAACGAGTTAGACCCAGAGAACTCGCTTTCCGGGTTCTTAGATCATGTTCCAATGAGTTTAAGAAGATGGGCCTGTTACCCAATGCTACTCGGCCGAGTCAGGCGTAATTTCAAGCACATAATGTTAGTGGACGTGAAAAACACGCTAATTCTTGGCGACCCACTCGGCCGAGTCAGGAACCGGAGTGCCGAGTCAGTTTATTTACTGTTCAACAAGCAAGAGTCAAATAAACATAACAAGAAAAACTCGGACAGAACTCAGCCTCACCACCCAGTGAACTCAGCGATTCTGATGGGTGGTGCTCGCGGCATCCGGAGACTGTCCAATGCAATGGTGACTGAAATTGTTCGAGTTGCAATGCAGCAGAAGAAGAAGAACCCAATCTCTGAGTCAGGAATATTGAGTCAACTCGTCGGTAACCAGCACCTACTTAAAGATGTCCACGTGATTGCGGCCACCGAGTCAATTCCAGATGCGAGTTCACTCACTGGGTCGAGGTCCAACTCGGGCGTGGATTATTCCATAATACAACGTGGTAATAGTAATAATGATAGTAATAATCATTATTTTAATTCTGTAATTATGAAGCAAATATGTTCATGTGAAGTAGATTCTTCTATGTATAGAGTTTGTTAGAGAAAAAAAAATGAAAATAGCACAAGAGAAAGAGAATATTTTTGTTTTATTTTGAGAAAAACACAAACGATGTGGATTATAAGGTAATAGTTTAAAAATCAAATTCATGTTTCATGTTTCATGTTTCATGTATCATATATCTTCATTTTTGGCAACTTTTTCATTATCATAAAAAAATAGCATTGATGTGTAAAAAAATATTAAAATTGTGTGAAATAAATAATTCAAACATGATGACGTTAGAAATAAAATTTTAGAGACATAAATTAAAGAGAAAAAAAAGGATATTTTAATATTAAAAATATCAAAATATTTTATTATAATAATTAAATGCATCAAATAAAATATAAATTTTAATTTTATCAAATTAATTATGTAATTATTATTAAATATCTTAATATTTTTAATATCAAAACTGCTTTTTTTTTTCTTTAATTTTTTTTTAATGTGAGCAATTAAGAGAAGGAAAAAAGCCAAGGGTAAGGTTTGAACTCCATAGTTTAAGATAAAACATCTTTTAATAATATTTTGGTGGGCACTTAAACTGCTTGAGCTTCTCTTTTTTTCTTTAACTTTAATTTAAAAGTTACATAACTTTATTTTTATAAAAGTAATATAATTGTAATTATATCATTTAGTGTTATAAGTTTAAAACATGATTTATTATATAATTAATTTTTTATTTAAAAATTTATTTATAATATTATATATATACATTTATTTAATAATATATTATATATTAATTTAAAAATAATATTATAATTCTAAATTTATTCACTTATTTGATATTATTATATAAAAATAGTACCTATCAATTTTACCTTCTAAAGATTAGGAGGTTTATTATCTCAAAATTACATCGTTTCAATACATTTTTATTAAAAAAAATTAAACTACCGTATTTTTAAAATATGTATTAAAGTATTTTTTATTTTTTATTTTTTTTAATTTTTTAAAAATAAAACGAACAAATACTAACCCCTTATTATATTTATAGAATTACTGTCATAATTTAAGTTTTGTACAAAAGCGTAGGGCCGCTGTCAGCAAAGTTAATTAATTCTTTTTTTTTTTAATTAATTCACGTTGGTTTGGTTAAATTGCAATTTTATTTTGCCTTTCGAACCGAACAGTGATAACCTTTCAAGCACTTCGACAACTTTTTGGGTTGACTTTAATCTCTTGACTGAAATGGTTAATTATCGTACGGCTTCAGGTGACACCGAAATTTCCCCAGCCATTTCTCCATTTTTTTTCCGTTTTCTTTATTTCTACCAATATGCATTTACTAATAGCCAAAAAACTAAAAAATAAAATCCACCAGTAACTTTGTAACTTGAATGGAAACCCATTGAAGCCTAAACCATACTTTTAGTTTAATAAAATTTATTTCAAATTTTTCATTAACATTTTGTCTCAAAAGTAGCTTAAATTCTTTTAACTCAAAACTAAATCTTAAATCAAATAGAAGGAATTTAAAAACAAAAATAAAGGGCTA